GTATGTACTTGGAATATGCAGTTTAAGTGGCTTATTAACTTAGCCACGAAGTTCATGGAAGTCCATAAATACTTAGTATGTATGTAGTATACATATGTATGTACATACATACATTGTATATATATATATATATGTACATATGCATACTATGAATACCAGTTAGACAAAAGCAAATGCATGAGCTGCCAATACTTGTATGTATACAATAGGAAATTTTTTTTAAGCCGTCTTTTATACTGGGCTGGGAGTACACAGCGGAGTTCAAGGCGACATTTTTTATTGCAAACTGCTAATAACTATATGAGCCACGTAGTGGGGTGTGAGCCGCATGTAGTCAATAAAACTTCGACAAATATTAAAATACAAATATTGAACTGAGTTGGTTATAAGAAAAAGTATAAGATACAGTAGGAGTATTCACCGAATTGAGGAATTTACCTGACACTCGGGCGAAAGAGCTAATTAGCTTGAGCTAGTCAACTCGTTTCCCCGAGGGCTAGGTCACTTGCTCGATTTAGTGAATACCCCTTATCTTGATTTCATAATATTTATTCAAATACCAAACTGTCGATGTGTACCTAACTCGCTAAAATTATGTTAAGCAAATTTCCTAGAAGAGATGGCAATTAAAAAAAAATCGCTTTTCATTGGTATCGCTTTTGTAAAGGATTTCTATTGTTTCATATTTAGTATTTATTATTTAATATGTGGGTTTGCTTTATACAATTATGTGTATGTACATATCAACAAAGCATTGTAATAATGAAGCTATTTATTATTTTTGCTTATTAAAATGCTGTATATAGTTTATATGTACATATGTATGTATGTACGTACATGCATGTATCACACACGCAAACACATTTATATGATGATGACCGATGACCTTAAATGCGATTTAATTTTTATCTGATTGAATTACGTTTCAAAAAAAAATTATTAAACTCACCCACAAAGATAACTGCGTATGTACAAATGTTAATGCCTGAATAACTATTTTCCATTCAAGGGGTGGTAAAATATTTTCCAAGCATTCCTTATGAATATATTCAAACTTATTTCACTTAGGCAGAATAGTCTTAAAATTGTTAATTGTTAAGAATTTGTATGTTCAACAACAAAAAATAGCCTTTATCAACAATAGGATTTTTGGAAAACTAATACTGTAATATATGTAGCTGACCAAATGTTTAAATACATGAGAAAATGTTTTTCTTAATTTAAAAATTTACTTCCAAAAAACAGAAAAAGACATTTTGTCCTGTGTGACTTAAAAAACTGCATGATAAAAATATTAGACGTTAAAACCATTGAGAGGAAGTCTGACGTTTGCCAGCAATATAATTTCAAAATTGAAATCTCAAACTCACATGCATATTCTCATTTTTTTTTTAATCTCAAACAACAACAATTGTTAACAAATTAATTTTTTATTTTCATTTTGATATGATTTTAAAATGCTTGCAAACGTCAGAAAAAAATCCTGCCCGACGAATTGAGAGAATGATTTTAACTGTGTCTACAAATAGCTGAATATGGCAACGCTGATTTCCAAATTTCAATATTCAATATTGTTTGCATGAAAGCAGAAGAAATTTTTCTGAATTTTATACGAAGCCCCTCTGAATTCAATAAATATAATTTATTTTTAATTTTATAAGGCAAATACTTAATTCATATCATTATATTTGGGGTATTGACAGACAACTTTTTATCGACTTATTTATATAAAAAATTAATTTAAAGAGCTTTAAATTTAAAGTGGCAATTTCGTACAAATCTTTGATTTATAAAGCATTTAAAAGGTAATTTTTTTAAGCGCCGTAATCATTATAAGTAAAATAGTTTAAATCAGCATTTAATAAGTTATTTTATGAGTTGATTTTTTGCGTATTGGGTTTTATGCGAAGCTTTTCGGACGGTAGAATAAAAATGCCAAATTAATTTTTTCCTTCTTTCTCCTACGCGTTTCGGCGTCCTTCACGCCTTCATCGGGAAGTCTGATATTTTAATGTTGAATTATCGAAAAGCTCCACATACAACCCAATTTATTTTTTTTCGTTAAAAAGAATAATTACTATTGAGTTTTATTTTTCGCTCAAGGGAAAAAGTAATTTTTTAATTTTTATTTCTTAAAAAGCCATACAGACAAAACTAACTGAAAATTCGACCTGAAATCTTTGAGAATGATTCCTTTTATTTGGGTGTCGCATTCTCTCAAAATAATATTTCGGAATTCCCTTTGATGTAGCGTTTGAGTTTTTTTAATACTCATTATTCTTAAGTGAAAAAATAAAACTCAATAATAATTATCTTTTAAGAAAAATAAAAATTACAAAATAACCACTTTCTCGCTGTTAAAATATATTTCTTTTGTTATTGTTAAAAAACATTACCACAATGCATACATCCGGCAACTTCTTCAACTGGTGCGTTCACTGCTTGATGGGAATCTTGTCAGGCTTGTTTGTCGCATGCGCAGAGGCATTGCAGAAGGTGGTGCTCTTCAACTTCACCTTTGGGAAAATACGTCTGAAGTTATTTCCTGGCTCTATAATGCCATAGCAAAGGTTTTATGCTCTGAGGAGCTATTTTCGGGTGGTATGCGCCGGAGAAGGCTACGTTAATTACGGAGTTAGAGCGTGCACAATAAACCGTCCTTGTTTATAGCAGTAGAAACTTGGGGCCACTCTGGCGCTAAACGTCATCCTCAAAAACCGCGCCAATCGACCAGGGTTGTGACTATAATTTAAGACATTGGGTGCCTAGCAAACTGTTCGTTATCTAAAGACTACCTCTGTCGTGAAATCTCCGATGGGATTTTTTTACTAAATATCTCCCCTTTTAAGAAATGCTTGCGTTATATTCGACATTTTTAATATATTATATGATATAAATATAAGCAGTGTATGTATAATGTAGTTAGGGCAAAGCAAGCGGCAGTGGCTCGTAAGACAAAGCAGATTTATGCACAATATCAACTACATACATATAAGTACCTAATTATACATAGATAATCAGCCTTGCACGTGCATAATTCTATAAACAGAGACGCATTCATTCATACACTTACGCTAAGAGAAACCCAGTTGGAAAATACATAGCTCATCGATGACAATGTCATCAATGGTGTTTCGTTTAGAAGCCTGACATTATACCAGGAATGCATTGATTCCACTAGCTCTTTTAAAAAGGAATTTAATTGAAAGCCACCATTCTAAAAAAAATAGGCATTAATTAGAGGAGGAAAAAAGAGAAACCCAGTTTTTTAATATTTAAGATTCGCGAAGTTTTTATTAAGTATAGCTCTTTATCTAACAAAACCCATAAAAAAAAATTATCAAAAATTAAAGCGATTTTTCAGCAGCTTCAAAATTGCACTTTACAAAAAAAAAAATGCGACTATAAATCGAGCATAATTTTGTTTATTTTTTAAATTTTTTTGTTAATTTACACGATGAATATGTACTTTTCTCGTTTACACATTTTCACGTGTAAAAATCCTTTTTGTTAGCAGCTTTACACAATTGTACGGGTGAAATCAAACAGCAGATGTGTATTTTGTAGCTTTTACACGCTTTTGTAGTAAATTTACACACACCACAGCAGCTATATTACACTCTAAAAAGTCCGAAATTTAAACAAACTATTCGTTGAATAATCGAGCATGTAATTTCGCGAATAATAAGGTAGGAAATCAGTAACCTAGCTTTTAGCTAGGAAATTTACACAATTTTTTTTAGAGTGTACATACCAAAAATTATTCTGGAAATTGTAACTAAAATGCTTGGAATTGCGTTAAAAATATTGTCGAATTTTTTTAAACTTTTGTATAAAGTCTGAAATTTGGATTTTTATGATGGTTATTGTTAGACAAAGAGCTATGCATTTATAGAAAAATAAGGAACATTAAACAAAAAAAAAAAGAGAAATGGTTAAAACTTATCAAAATGTTAAGGCGCTATCGCTCTGTCGTGGACTGTAGGCATACGATTTGTATGGCGTGAGCTGTCGGTTTCCAACTGAATAGTTACATTATATTGATGTGAGCGGAAAACATAAACTTATAAGCATTCCTATTAGAGATATACATACATAAATACGTAAGTAGTAATTTGAGCTTTATTGTACATCTACATATGCATATGTATGTACACATACATCCATACATACTTACTTATGGGATGGGCGATTCCAGCGAAAAGTCTAACGCGTAAAAAAAATTAAAAGTCCTATATCTAGCTTGTTTATAGGCCGATTTAGCTGCTATTTATAATATATATCTACTGGCTATGTCAGCACAAACACCAGAGTCGAGATATTTTTCAAAACCTTGCCTATGCTTTGATTTGTTTCATATTTGGCATGTTTAGTTGAAACGAAATAAGACATAGATTTGCAAAAAATTAGTCGCTTGTGGTGCTGATGTCAAAATAAAAAGTACGCTCGACATAAAACTTTTTGAATGGAAATTTTAGTAACATAACGCCAGGTAACGTCGCGTCGATAGTTCAGCTGATTAAACATACAGCAGACAATATTTCTACATCTAAAAAAATTGGAAAATTATCCTTAAACTTGACCAATATTACTACAAAAACCTTCATAAAAATAGTCTTGCCCAATTCCCAAAGTTTTGCAATTAAAATCCACTTAATATCTTTAAATCGCTACTACCAATAGTTGTAATTTTTTTTTACTCAATTAGGGGACATTTAATTGCTATGCAAATCTTGAAAATCTTTTTAAAACATTTTACTTTTTAAATAATTCTTTTTTTTTTTTTTAAATTAGGTATACGAGCGTCACGTAACGCAAGTTTGGAAATACCCATACATACGTACATAAGTATTCACCTTTGCATGAGAGAGCTCTGTTAATTGCACAGCAATGGCGGCAACATGCAACCACAACTACAAGCATGTGAATCGCTAATATTTCTTACATACATATATACAAATGTAACAACATGTGCCCACACATACATATATAACGCTTACCGCAATGTGCAAGATCAATTATCGGCACCAGACCCTTGGTCAGCAGTGTATCCACTTTATCATCATTCGTTTTTGCTTTCAACATTTTTGCTGCTTATTAATGTTTTATTATTATTATTTATTTTTTGAACTTGTTGCTCGAATTTTCTACGGATGCTGCTGCTGCTGCCGCTCACTGTTCACTGCTTACTGCTTTCGCTTTTGATGCTGCCGAGTAGTTTACAATCAACTATTGACACTGACACTGGCACTGTTGCTAAGTTATTGCTTTGGTAACTTTTGTTTATTTTTTTTTTTGCTCCTGCGCTGATAATGCCAATAGTAGATATGTAACGAATGTTTTGCGTTGTTTTCGATGCGGCTGAATGGCGAAGAAGTTCTATGATTGTTTGGAAATAATTGCTGACCGTTGCATTGGGATCGCTAACGTAGTTTTATGCACAACTGCACAATCGTCTGTGTTTATCGCTGCTGTGGCTATTTGTTGCTGACGATGCCTTGCTCTATCGCTACCTCTTTTGGTAGATAGAAAAATTTTCTTTCAAGTTGCTAGTGTTTTTGTTTTATTTTGTAGGATTTTGCCTTTGCTGTATATCAATTGTGTGCTGATAGCTGTGGAATGACGTTCATATGAAGACGAGATTAAAAACTGTATTTAGTATTAAAATATATGTATATAGGTAGGTGTGAATCTAAGTATGTAAATTGAAAATAAAACTTGTTCACAAGTAAACGAAGACAACAATGCACATGTGCGTCAAATTAAATTATTCTAATTAGAAAGCTTAATTAGTTGCTAACGATTTTTCTTGTTTGCCAGGTAGAACAATATTCCATAAGCTTTTTAGCACGATGCCCTTAATTAGATGCATAAATTTGTAAATATGTATTCATTCTTAAATCTTAGTGTAAGGCGGGACCATAGTGAGTTGCATATTTGTTACTCAAATCGTAAAACTTTGGCAACAATAAGTTTTGCACGACAATTCACATTTCATTAGCTTATACTTTCTTGCCGATAAATAAATAAGCTAGGTATGTTGTACAGTTTGTAGCAGTAGAGCAGTTGATTTGTTTTTTTTTTTAATAATTTTGATAAATTTAGTTTACAAATTCGCACAAAAGTTTAAATTGTCAAAATTTGTGTGCATGTGAAGAACTTTTGGAACGTTAGCTCGAATTGGGAATACAAATCCTGCTTTTTGAGCCTTTTAAAGCATATACAGATGCTGCTGGTTAGACGAAAATTTACTAAAAGGAAAATTGCGCCAATAGCAATAAAGCTTAAATTTCTGCATCATTTGTAAACTTATTTATTTGTTAAGTTCTTTATATTGAAATCCACTACAATTATTTACCGGATTAAAATATTTATCTTTTAAAAATTATTTTCAGGCTGCTAAATGAAGTCCTGTTCTGCATCAGACTCAAATTATTTATTAATAACTGACTTCAAAAAAAGGAGGAGGTTATCAATTCATCGGAATTTTTTTTGGGTTTATGATATCGGATAACTTTGCCACGTTAACCGATTTCTATAATTCTTTTAAAGGCAGATTTGGTTTACATCCGATTATTGGATCATAAAGAAATTAACGGTAAATTAAATTCTTATACGAAAATTGAAGTCGGTTTTATTTTTTGCTTAAAAATTACTTGTTTTATTATATTTTTTCATTTATTTTTTATCCAAATTTTGTGTACATATTTCATTCAAGGGTATTAAATTTCGTTATTTTATTCTCTAATTATCTTGTTTTATTTATTTTACTTTAATTCAATTTACATTATATTTTATTTAAAATTTTTTTGATTAGGTACTTTTCATTTTATCAAATTTTTTTTGTTTTATTTTATTTTTCATTTGCGCCTTAATTTTTTTATTTTACCTTTACCTAATTCATTTTTTCTTTTGATTGTTTTATTTTTTCATAAATTTTTTATTCTGTCAGTTATATAATTTTTTTTAGGGCCAAAATCACAGTGCGAAGTTAACTCAGAATCGGCAGTTAACCACAGATTTTCTGTACAAAAATCTGTGCTTCACGTTTAGTTCAAGTGTTACATTTTACCTTAAAAATTTTTGTACTATTTTGTTTATTTTTATTTTATTTCTTTTTATGTTTTCTTTTTTATTTTTTATCTTTTTTAGAAGATATATTTTTAATTTTATTTAATTTTTCTTCACTTATTAATTAATTAATTTTTATTTTGTTTTACCATATTTCATGATGCATTATTTATTTTATTTTTCTTATTTTCCTTTATATATTGTTTTACTTAATTTTTGTTCTACTTTTTGTTTTATATTTTATATAGTTTTTTATTTTATTTGGTCTTATTTTTATCATTAACATTTTGTTTTATTTCACCCTTTTTTATTAAATTTTCTAATTTATTTATAGGTTTCTTAAAATTGTTTGATCATGACCTGTAGTAAACTTATTTATTTCATATCCTTATCCTTACTAATATTATAAATCCGAAAGTGAGTTTGTTTGTTTGCTTCGCTTTCACGCTTTAACTATTCAACCGATCATCATGAAATTTTGTACACGGCTGTAATTTAGCCCAACTTAAAATATAGGATACATTTAATCTCGATTAGGCAAGAGGGCGTTGCACCTCCCATACACACGGAATTTTTCATATTGCATTTCTCAGGAAATATTTTTGATAGATTACTGGAACTTGGTATCGACTTATATAAAATCATTATCTACTCATAGATGAGGGCTGCCACCTTTAAAAAAAAACAAATTCAACTTCAATTAAGGGAGTTAATTATTTGAAAATTATATGATAAAACGGATGTCAAGATACTTAAAAAAGCTGTATATCGAATATATTTTCAAAAGGGTTGCCACCTGTTTGAAAAGTCAAATTTAAATTAATTATACGCAAACTATCTGAAGAAATAAAATATGGTTGTCGAACAAAATATTATTAAGAAACCTTTAGTTTTAAAGTTTTGAATAATATTGAAGTATTTCACAAGGATTGCCACCTTTTTAAAAATTCAACTTAATTAGTTTAAATGAAATATTATAATACTAGCAGACCCGGCGAACTGCGTCCCGCACAAAATAATGGTTTTTTTTTTAACTTTTTGGTCCAACATATTCGCCAACAATTCACGTTTATGATTTCCATTGGCACGCTCATCGGCTAAGATTATGGTTTGTTGGTCGTTTTCCGCCTTAAATAACCTAACGAAAGCGTTATGTCCGTGATGAAGTTCTTGAAATTCTCTAATTGTGTAACATTTCATAGAACGGTTAATCTCACAACGAAATAAATTTGAGGAACATTTCCTCTACACTCCCTGGCGGCAACAATGATCCGGTTCTATAGTAAAACTTTATAGTATAGTTGGTGACAATTTCCAAATGGATGCGAGTAATTGTTCTACAGAAATACGATATACATAGACTTATTTCGGACGAAATACCTTAAGAGTAAGTCTCACGAAAACAATTTAAGTGAAAATAAATTTGTTTTGCTTGAACTTATTGCAGTAAAAGGCGCGCGATGGTTTTGGCGGTTGATTTATCGGTGGCGATTTGAGATTTACCCCTGCACCTCAACCTTGGTATCTCCGAAAAAAGCTTTAAGGCATAACAATACTGGCAAAAATCACATAAATTCGGCCAATCGTAACACATAAAAATTCGATATACTCAGTGGTGCAACAGGT